GTGTGTGTGAACTATAATAGTAGAAACTAAATAATGTATAATATGTGAATATAGAATATATTAAAAAAGTTTTCTTAGGACACATTTCACACACATTTCATATGTTACAACCTATTAAAATTAAATGGTTATGAGTATTTCAAAGAAAACTGTCTGTGTGCATCATAAATGACTGCATCAATTTTTAAAAAATTTTTTTGGTTGGAATTTTTGAAGTCTCTGGCATATACCCTTTGATGATCTTTTGGGATAATTTGCTGACATTTTATTCATAAAATCCAGTTACGCAACACGTATTTATAAAATTAATGCTGATATATGATTTTAACTAATTAATAATTATAAAGATTTTTTTTAAGGAAATTAATTGTTAAGGAAGTAAACACAACGTTTCCTTTTTTCTTATAATGTAATCAATATATGATAAACATTTGTTTCCAAAAATTATAGTATTTAATGTATTTTATATCATAATTAATTATAAAACTAATTTCTCATTTCTTATAAAAATATGAATTAAGTTACGTAGAAAAGATTTATAGTTAAAAAATCTCTTTAATAAAAAATACTTACAATTTGTGATGATGAATTAATGCCAAGAAAAATTTCTTTTTACCCCCCTAGAAAGTCTTTAAACTAATTCTTGATTAAAAATAGCTTCAATAATCTTACTGAAAAATGAGAAAAATTAATAATATTTGAAGTTTTCATATTTAATTAACGTAACAGTTTTTAAAATTTAATTAACGATGACATAAAATCGCTAAACCTGAATAAATTTGTTTATTGATAAGAAAATTAAAAAATAAAGTAGGAACTAAAACAAAAAAGTAAATCACATTTTAAGTTGAGTGATTTACATAAAATAAAGAAAGCTGAATAAAATAACTAGGTTTTTAATTTTCCAATTAAATTTTCAAAATGTGAAACTAGGGTCATTTTCTTAATAATCATGTTAAAATAAAACCTAAGATACACTTAACATTCCCCCCCCCCTCTTATTTCCTTTTCAAAAACATGCCGAAATGATTTAACACAAGAATGTCCGTCGATGTCGATTGGACACAGAAGCCTATTTAGTTTGTTCTCCTTTCCGCATTTTTACAGGGAATTTGCAAATTTTTAGTGACTTTTAATAACTTTTCATGGTGATTACAAAGAAAATGTTTCGTGATTCTGTGTTAGTTAGGAGAGATTTTACAGCTAAGTATACCTGGAACGTCCACTGGTGTTGTTTCGACACCAAGGCAATTTATCGTTATAAATAGCTGTCGTTCAGCAAATGATAGTTCACTAAGTAGTAACCATTAGTTAAAAAAACTTCCGGGAGTAACATCGCACATTTATTTGACCTTGAATGCAGTGTTATTGGGTTCAGAGCGGAAATGAGTCAATTATACTAAAATTGTTGTGTCTTAAGTGTTTCGTTACGTAGTATTTGCTAATGTGCTGATAAATTTTTTTTATTCAATTTTCGAACTTTGCGCAGAGCAGACACCCTGAAACGATGACTCGTAGAAAAGGTCTAAGTCCTGATGAAATTACTAATTTGTAGCGAGAGCTTTCTAAAAATGAATCGGATGGGGTGGTTAGTTGTGTGTGTGTGTGTCTTACACTAATTTAGATTCCGATGAAGACATAAAATTGAGTGAAAGTGATTGCGAAATATCTGAAGAAAGGGCAAGGGCTTTTGTCTAAGCAAAGAGTTTATGAAACTTTTTCGAAATTTTAACAAAGTATTTATTCCGACATTCAAATTTATGACTATTTTTCACAAGTGTCAGAATTCCTTTTTTTAAAAGAATAAATAATTAAAATATTTTAAGCAAAGATTTAAAAAAAAAATTATTTTTATTTAAAAATCTCATCACATAACTTTTAGAAAATTACTATTTTTTTAAACTTAAAAAATATCGTTGTAAATTTTAATAGTTTAATATTTAAAGTAAATTTTAGTTTTATTATTATCAAGTACGGCAGCATTCCGTTTGAAGTATATCTTCTAAATAATTTTTTTTGTTTTAAATAGTGATTAGCTTAGGGGCTCTATAAGGCGACTAGTAAACAGAAAGTGTTTTGTGTTCTTCTGTTTCCAAAGACAGAATCTGCTATTGCTGTGCAACGAGCGCTCCGTTATAAGGTTCGTTTGTCAACCTCCAAACGATAATGATATTCTTAGGTGATATCCTCAGTTTGGAACAACTGGCTGTCTTTGTAAAGGGAAAAGTACGGGATGACCAAGGCTGTAAGTGGTTCTGCCTATCTTGATGCTCTACAACTATGGCTATTTCCTGAATTGGAAGAAAGTGAACCAAATAACTTCATTTGGCAGCAAGATGGTACACCGCCTCACTGGCATCTCTTAGTACGCGAGTGGTTAAATATCACTGAAACCAACCAATGGATTGGCCGCAAAGAGCTTCTCAATAAAGCTTGCATCGAATGGCCTTCACGTTCACCCGATCTGGCGCCATGTGGCTTTTATCTGTGGAGGTTCATGAAGGATTGTGTGTACGTTCCTCCGCTACCAGCTGACCTTCCAGACTTAAGACACAGGATTGAAGCAGCGGTTGCAAGAATTTCCTCAGACACACTGAAAAAAGTTTGAGATGAGCTCTCATCGAATTTACTTGTGACGTGTGATGAATGGGGCTCACTTTGAACATTTATAAACTTGTAGGTAAAACTGTTTCAGTTACTCTTTCATTAAATGTAGGAATATACTTGTAACTTGTATGTGATAAGTACTATAAGGCGTTAAAACTCTGATATTCTTTTAGAAACACCCTGTATTTTAGCATTTAAGACACAAGTAATTGAATCGTTAAAACTATTGTTTTTACGTGAATCAGCAACTTGTGTGAGTCCCGAAATTCATTCATTACAATAGAATTATTATTAGAGTATATTTAGTTTATAAAGTATTGATTTCTAAAAAAAAATATTTTTAACTTTTAAGTAAATTTATTTTTCTTTTGATACATTTCCAAAAGTTAACCATAATAGCTTTCAAAGAATATCATTTGATAAGTTGAGTACAAAAATATAATTTTTTTCGTACACACATAGTTAACTCCGTACAATTTCATTTCAAATCCATCTTGAGAAAGGAACCAGATCATGGTGGTAAAGATCGTGGACTCGTGGCCGGCATGTCACAGGTTCGAACCTTGTGCTTCTAAGGACCCGTCGTATAGAGAGGGTAGATACATGTCAAATCCGTCGAGGCTCAGAGCTACCCAGTTGGCGTGGTGTGAACGTTTGGAAAGGGGGCTCAGGTATCTTCCTTGACACTTGACGGTGGTTCAAATATACGAGGTCCATCGTCAAAAGCCTTCGTGTAGCTGAATAGTGTAACGTTAATATTCACTCAATAGCATAAATGATTTCAGTGCTATCAATGACATTTTTAAATGAAAACCATGGTTTTTTCTGTTATAACTCTTCGTTTCAAACAGCAATTACTTCAGCTGTCAATATTTTCTCACAAATATCCTAGATGAGCTCGCACGAATAAAAAATCCTTCTAATTCTAGATCAAAATATTTTTAGAGTTTTTCTCCAGTCAATCGAACTGCTTTTGAAACATGTTTTGAAATGTTATCAAACACAGATAATAATTACAGAAAAGTAAAAAAAAATTGTTTTTTTTTTCCATTTTCGTGTTTAGGAATCCACTATGTGTAATGAGAGATGTTAGAAAAAAATGTATTTTGAAACGAAAAGATAAAGACGTTCCTTGATAATAAGTTAATTTGAAGTTATTTTATGCTTCCTAAGATTTTCGAAGTAAGTTAGATTTATATCACACTTTAAAAATTAATTTTGACGTTGAGATAAAGCTTCCATTTTTGGAAAAAGAATCTTATTTAGAGGCGAAGATAAATCCTTTTATTAAAATTAAAAGCTGTTAAATTAATTTTTTTTGTTAATGTTTTTCTGCAACAAATTGAAGAACAAAAGTTTTTTTTTCTAAAAGTATTTAGGTTGCATTACCTTTTATTTTGAGAAAAGTCTGAATTGAAAATTAAACTCATTCTCTCACGAGTTATACTTGAATGGGCTCAATTCATGTGACGTCATAATCACGTGATAATGATAATCACATGTTTTTTAGCCAATCCGTTCAAAACCTCATGCGATGTCATATTCATATGATAAAAGCTATCATATCTTTCCAGCTAATCAGTTTCTGCACTTCGTTGTTGCCAACTTTTGATCTTTCAGAAACTTTCTCTTAAAAAAATACAAATTTTTCAGCAACAATAATGCACATAGGTAGATAAAAAGTATTTTATTTAAA